AATAAATAGGAGCCCAGTTGTATTGCTTCTTATTTAGGTAATTAAAAAGCAGCATATTTTTATGTACTCACCAACCCACATAAAGATATGTAAAATCATATTGTATATATTTTTAAAAAGTAAACTAAAAGAAAAATAAATTTTAAATGTTACACAAAAACATACTGTTTTGTAAAAAGCATCATTAAAAAATGAAATTATAGATAATTCTAAAATAAAAGTCATCTTCATTATACGGTTCAGTTAAATTATTGATTTATGTGTACCTTGAAATGAAAGAAGACATTTTTTAAAAATCTGGCTATGATATTTCCTGTATATGTGTCACAAAGTATACTAAAATAGCAAAATTGCTCAAAATCATTGTCTCTAAATGGAATTGTTACTACCAAACATATGTATTAAATTTAATCAATAATTATCCTTCTGGGATAAGAAAAAGGCCTAAGGCTTATTTTAGAAATATTGTTTATTTCTTCCTCAGTGGCCCCCTCTATTTCCAGATGTGAATTGGTAATCAATCCTATGCATAAATCCTTTCATTTTACTTTCTCTGGAGCTATAAGTAGAGTTCATTGTCAGTCAGTCAGGTGGCATGGTTGTGGCTTTCTTCTTTCAAAATTAGACAATCCTTCCAAAATTTATATCCTCTCATGCAACCAAGAAATTTTCCTGTTCAACACTGTTATCTATTTCCTTTCATCTCAGGGATTACTTCTTAACTCCCAAATACTGGCTTACCCCATTTTGATTAAATTTTTGTCTCCAAATTATTCATCTTTATAAAAACCTACCTGTTGCCTTTTTCCTCATAGGAAGCAAAGAGGAAGCAATTTTGGTGTTAGCTACTATGTACTTCTGTCACGAGCAAGGAAGGTGGCTACCAAAGTAACAGCCTCAGACATGTTTGTCTTTCCACAATGCCAGGTTTATTGAGTGAGATCTTCTCAGATAAACCAATCAGGTATCCACACAGGTTAACATGCAACACACAGAGAGGGGAAGGTACAGAGGCCTGTGTGACAGAGCAAAAGAGTAAAAGTCCTCCACGTTCCTTAAACGAGCTCTGGAACAGGTGGCATGGATAGACTCATGATGGTCCCAAGCCAATGGCTCTTGGGGCACCAATCTGTGATGCTGTCGGGTCAGGCTTGAGCATCATCTGTGTTCAGCTTATATGGTCCTTACAGGGTGAAATCCTTTTGCTTATGGGCTCCTGCTGCCGTGGCTTATCAACTACAGTCCTGGCTGACATTTCTGTGTTTTGGGGAAGTCCAGTCACACCCTAAGAGCAGTCTCATCAAGTGACTTATTGTTTGCCAGCTGAAATTACCACCATGGCTCACAGTGGCATCCATTTTGTGAAGTCCAAAAAGTCCTCCATTCTTTATGTTCTACACAATTTCACAACATCAAAACATTAAAAATTACAGAACTTCATTTCTGCTAAGAATCCTGTTCTTCAGATTGGTGAGCCTCTCTTCTACAGTTCTACTCACAAGGGCTCCCAGGATGCAGTTCTATTGCTGGAGCAGTGACAATGGCAAAGAAAGGCCATGGAATTAGTGGCCCAAATACTCTGACTGTAAAACTTTGGTTTTTATATAGATAGTTAGATCTAAGTGTTTCCGATATTTTTTCATTCTTCCTAACAAGTAATTCCATCCTACTATGCCTAAAGCAAAAGAAATGGAGTATCCAGATAAACAAATGAATAGACATTCCTTCTCTCAAACTGTTTAATGGATTATTCTTTGTCAGGATAAGTAAGAGTAGCTATTAAGCAATGAGTGATAGCTATTTAAGATGTATAAAACAATTTTAATCCTTTACACATGCTCGTTTCTTATACATTTTTCAGCTTGTACCCAACAAGTTGTCTTTAAGCACAGCCCCAATTCAGGGTGCTTTAAGCCATTTGTTTAATCTCTCCATGTATGGATACAGAAGCTTCCTCATCACACCACCAATTATCCAGGGCCCCACTCACCTTTTCTTGGTATTTAAGGTCATGGAGTAGATGTGAAGGGGATGTCCATGCACAAGCACTAGTTGAAGCCAAAGCACTCTGGCAGACAAGGGTCATTCCTGAGTAGTTAATGGTAAGATGCTGAATGTGGATGAAGTGGAGCTAAGAAGCTTGTGTCCAGATCCCAGGTGGCCTTCGAGACCTCCATTAATGCCTTTTGGACAAAACATTCCAGTTTATGCCTATTGTCCCTATTATCCTAATTGCTGCCTCTTTTACTTGCAAGTGTTCCAGTTTGGGCAATAAATTATACGGTGACCCTATTTATGGTAGAACTTTGCCCAATCCACTTAGGAAGTTTTTCCTATATCAGGTCTCTGGTTCCCGTTCTCCTTCCTGCCCTATAATTAACCTCCCTCCCTCCTCTCCTGACCCTGCTAACCACAACTCTTCATCTCCAGGAATTTTCTTCCCCTGCCAGAGAGCTTCTTTCCTCCAAAGCCACCCTTCTATCTCCTGCTCCTTCTTTTTCTTCTTCCACAGTAAACTTCAGACCCAGACCATGTTGATATGCAAACTGCACAGGTCTAGTTTGGCCATTTTGGTCCCACACTGGTCATTATTTCTACATTCCCAATCCAGAGCCTACCAAAGGTGTCTCTCAGACTTACTAAACCCAACTATCATAGCAGACAGGGCCCAGACAGGTATTTTTCCAGAGCTCCACAGGTGATTCTCATGTATAATGGTCACCGAGTAGTCCTGGCTTCCTATGTCCCAGGCACCTTGCATTGCCATCTCATGAGAGGAAACAGTGTAGCAGTTAGGACCACAAGGTTTTGAAAATAACCCACTAGCATTTAAATCCAGATTATAACACTTACTAGCTGATCTTTGAAGTTACTTTAGATCTCCATGCTTCAATTTTCTTTGTAAAATATGGTTAATAGTACTTATCCTCATACCTGTGGTAAATTTTAAGCAGGCTAATACATGTAAAGCACTTAGATCAATGCCTAGTACAGTTATTTGCTTTTAAGATGTTAGCAATTATTACTTGTTTAGCAGTTGACGACATTTCTAAGATTACATGGCTAGTGGAGATGCTTGAGATCTATACCCAGATTTTCTGAGTATAACGCCCGACTTTCTGTGACACCACTACTATCCAAGTGCTCTCCTACATATAATAAAAAACAGTAATAGGACAATGAATAATATGGGAAGTACTTTATTCTATCATGTGACACCATATAATAGCCATATTTATAGCTGCCTAACCACAGTGTGGATTTGAATAGGGAAGATGACAAAAATAGCAGTATTATTGATTCAAGTACTGATCTTTATTTGATAAGGTTTTGATGATTTACCAGAGTTTTAAAATGCAATTTTATATTGAGTTCTTGTTTTCTTAAAAAGAACTGTTTTAAACTAAACATAAACTAGGTATAATCACATAACAAAACTGCATTTGAAAACATTAAACATTTCAATTCTCAATTTTTCTCTTCTTAGTATTACAAATACCTCAATTCGTCATCATGCTGAATTCCTCGGCACTTCCATACCATTTGCAGAGGACTCCCTAGGAAGCAGTGAATGTCTATCTTCCCTCAGAGACAATGATAACCTGGAATTTTTCTTACCACATCCCCCAGTATTCCTATAATTCATACCTTCTGTTCTTCTGAGATATACTTCTCATTGGCACAGCAGAAAAAAACACACTAGGATTTTGAAAACCTAAATTCTGGGCCAAGCTATGTCATAAAACTATACAATAATCTTAAATAGGTCATGAAACTTTCCAAGGCCTATTTCTGTTCTCAACTGCAAAAAATAAGTCATATTTGTTCAGGCCTTTATTATCCTATTTATCTTCACAGGAACCCTTAGATTTAAGGCAGCATTATACTCATTTATAAAGGAAATTCAATCTCAAAGAGGTTACACAACCCACCCAAGATTCCACAAGTAGTTACATAACAGAGATAAACTTAATAATCTCGCTGAAGCCCCTAGTACTGATATACATCATGCTTAGTTTGTTAAATAAATGAAGCAGCAATCTCAGGTTCCTTCCAGTGATCACATTTTATGCTTCTACTTGCTATTTTTTCTCTTTTCAATCAGCATTTAAATTATAAAATATATCTAGTCACCAAATTTCATTTATCATGGTTCTTTAACAATTCTTTAAATTTTTCTTGTATTTCTATATTAAGTTCAGAAAAGTTATTTTCTTCAGAATGTTCCCACTATCGCCTGCCTCTCTGAAAGCTTTTGTACCTGTCAAAGGAGAGACTGCTACAATTTTATAAATAACTCCTTATTATAATTTAAAAGTTATTTCATATGCAAAACCAACTCAAAACAAATAAAAAGGCCTCATTAGTTCTTATTTCCCAGAGCAGGAGTAAAAATGTATTTTCTGCTGATTTTGTGTCGTCTCCTGTCTGCCTTTACTTGGAAAACACTGTTATTCAACCTTGCTGTCAAGCCTCCAGTTCCCCAACAAGAAAATGTCACAGTCATAAGAGTCAAGAAAGCTCTTACTTTCACTATTCCATAGGAAGAATAAACCAATCACCTAAATTGAAAGGTGAAACTAAATGTTAAATGCGGGATTCAGGATATTTCCCAAGAGGTCACATAACCAATTTAAAAGCTTGATACAGTGTGCCTGAAATAACGCATTAACTCTTTGTAATACATTTATACATGTTCTATTTAGTCATGCTATTACATAAGAACACATGCCTAAAACAAATTAAAGTTAAAGAAAACAAAATTTACTCTATCAGCAGTCCTGAAAATTCATCGGAGCTCAATAAATAGTATGCTCTCACAAGGAGGAAGCTTTAAACAGTCGGTAATTTATATAATTTAATATGCTAAAAAGGAGAAAATAAACAGGACAAAGAAATGGGGAGTAACTTCAAGATTTCCTTCATTCTGATTGGATTGCTTTTCTGTCTTCAGGAGGGATGATTTTGACTTCAAAAGTAACAAAATATCTGAGAACAGAATTTACATCTTTCTGTTCTAGATGGTATTCTTCTGCTATTTTCTCAGCAGTCCATGTTTCTGGATAAAGTTTATGATTGTTGAGAAGTGTCAATGCCTCTACAATGGAAATTTTGCCTTTGGGAATGTTCTCAATATTCATACCAAAGTGATTGCCTTTTGGCAATCTGAACTCCTTTGGCTGTTGCCGTGTTCCAGCATCTTTTACCTAGTATCAGAAGACAAAAACAAAAAGGCTTTCAAGATGAGAGAGACAACTACATTCATGCTTCTCAAATTTCCACTATTCAAACAAACACTATAAATGCTTCTCTAAACTACATTTTCTCATTATAATGAGCCATAGTTCAATGGCACTTTTGCCACACAGCCATTTCATAGCTATAACTAAATCACTATGAAGAAATTCAGGAAGTTCTAGAAAATAATACTCAAATGTATATCATCTATTCACCACATTATTTCATGTATATTAAAAGAACAATGAATTGATTAGATTATATTAAAGCTGCTTTAGAAGGGCTAATGCTGATGCTATCCTAATAGATTACTTGACAAACTCCATTCTGTTTCCTAGTTTTGTATTTCATATCCAATGCCTCCGAATACTTTGAATGGATTTAAATATTGCTGGAGATCTTGCCTCTTCAGAGAAAATAACTAATGCTTCTAATACTCCAAAAAATACCAATAAAACAATTTATGCACACCCATGTTTCCACCTGACTGTCCCATCCAACCTTATTCCTAGCATTTGTGGTCTGTATCTCATTCCTGTTACCTAGTTACACCAATCATTTATTCCCTTTTCCTTTTCCTTTCAACTGCGTCCTGCCTACTGCTGCTGTTTGGTCAAAATATATAAATATATATAATACTACCTTTTAGAAAAACATATAAATACTACTTTTAAAAAACATACACCAAACCCAAAACCAATACTTTCCTTATGAACAGTTTCTTTCTTTCCAATTAAGCTTTAAAAGGTAATGATTTTTGTCATATCTAATATAGAAGATTAGATCTTAACCCAGAGGACACTTTTTAGGCTTTATTTGAACTCATTATAGCATCTGATGCTGCTGACCATGCCGACATAACCTTAACTATCTTTCCCCATAGCTTCCATGCCACCCTCCTCTGGTTTTCCCCTGTCTCTCCAGTGGTTCCTTCTTTTCTTTGTGGACTCTTT